GCATAAATAGTCATTGGGGTCTGATGCATGAAATTGCAGCTCGTCTGCCACATGTGCATTTGTGTATGCTGTGGGAGAGCTGTGTGGATGCTGGCCAATCTCAGCTCATGCGAGGGGGATAAAGAGCTGCCGTCTCTATGGGGGGATTTGACTGACCCATGGGTTTGACATGCAAAGCTGTTTCATAAATGGTTGATCCAACTATTGGCAGGATGAAGTTGAGATTTATAACACACAGGAGGGGGGGGTGCATTTTTCATCCTTAGGGGGATCTGGTGTCTCTTTTAAAATGTGTTATTTTGTAAATAATGACTTGATATTATTCTTTTATTTGCAGTTTTCACTTTTCTTTTTGCTTTACTTTTCCCCCTATTGATAAACCACCACTAATCTATGTACTAATTAGGTGCATTCTAAGGGTAAATAGCTCCCCTGGATGTTGGAAGTATTAATGTAAAGGTGTAGAAGGCATATTATGCTTAGAAAGTTTTCACTATGTGGTCATTAAATATAAAGGTCATAAGAAGTGCAAAACATTTGATATATGGAGCTACAGCTACCAATAGATTCTCTCTTAAAATGCTGTTTAACAGCACAGCTTGAGTCGGGTCGGTGTCCTTTAGATTCTGATATTATTTCATCAACAAATCAATGTTCGCTGAAACAGAAGTCCTGCTGTGGATTAAACAGGCTGCCCCTCTGAGGCCACAATCACAATATTTGGAATATCATTGCATGAAAAGTTTCATCACAAAATTAAAAATGTAATTTTCTTTAGCCACACTTCTTGCTAGAAGACAGATTTTGTTTAAATGGAAAGACACACAAAGACACAACCTATTCTGAACCACATCAAGGTTATGGATCCCACACACTTTTCATTGGAGTAATACACACTGTCATATTTTGAATGTCCTTAATGGTGCAACAGGAGGGTTGTTCGAGGGGTCAAAGGGGGAAAATTGTTCTAATGTACTTAAAATTGTATTTTTCTTGACTGAATGCTTAATAAAAATACTTTGGAGAAAAAACAAAAAACATGTTGCCCCTTCAGCCTTTCTACAGTCCTACATATAGAGGACCCTCTGAAATTAAATTAGAGCAAAAGTAATTACAGCATACAATCTAAGTTTGTGACCCTTTTAACAGTCAAAGGGTTGTTTAAAGTCTTCATATAAAATTAAATGCGACATCCACAAATCTGAACAGTTCAGTCAGTAAATAAATCTGCTCACTAGATTAAATTCGTATCATTTCATGCAACTAATGAAAAGAGACGTTAGCCCTCCTCTTCAAGGAAAGACTGCAGGGATTTTAGAGCTTAGAAATAAAATCCTTTTTTCAGAAGAAATAATCCATCTGAAAGCGATTAAACCTTACAGGTTGTTTCTGCTATCATTGCCAGAGACTTAGGAAGATTTCAACATGTAGGAAAACTAGTTGCACAAATCTGCATCCTTTACTTGAGTCTGCAGATCAGAGCAGGATGTCATACATTTCTGAAAGCACATTAATAAATGATGATATATTTTTGGTTTTATTGGATGCCCTCAGCTTTTTGTTTAGAATTAGGTTTGATCAAAACAATAATTTAGCTTTAGGATCTAATTTAAAATAAAAAAATCTGCCTGACCCAGATGGAATAAGCAGAAAAAGAAGGATGGATGTTTTAAATGCCTAAGAAAATGGAATAAAAAAAAGAACATCACCCCAATCTAAAATTATATAATAGAGTAGATGTTTCAATCCAGGGTATTTCTTTGTGTTAATTTTTCATCATAGCAATAAATGTGCTGAGGAGCAAAAACTATCCATTATCTGAAGAATAGAACCTGGAATATAGAGATGTAGGTGCAGTTTTTAAAGCAATAACACATAAAAATGTACATGCTTTTTTATTAATCTTATAAACATTAAATGTTTTCACTGCAGAAAAAACTGCGGCGTGCATTTCTATCATAGAATCTTAGATGTGATCAGTTTTCTAACTTTAAAGTAATAAAAGCTACCAGTAGGGTAAGTAAACTTTAGAAAAAAATTTTTAAACTGAGAAGATGTTTAAGTTTTTTTTCTCTCTACAGGAATTAAACTTTTTTATTTTTTTATTCTGAATGTTAACTGAACCAATATAACACCCATAAAGGTCAAGATCAGCTGAAAAATCTTATTAATAAGAAGTTAAAATCTGTTTATTTGCCATATTTTAGAGTGAGCTTTGTTTTCATGACAAATAAACACTAGTTAAAACATTTTCACTTTTAGATAAAAAAATCTAAAAGCAAATTCAATGAAATATATTTTCTGAAAAATATTTTTTGTTGTGTTCAACTTAAGTATGAAATAAAAAAATCTAAGTCTGCAGAGAGATAGTTGGGGAATAACATGTTCTATAGCTAAAGAAAGGAATAGACAATTTTGTTAGGGTGATAAAAAGACTTGGGTTTTTACCTGAACTAAAAACAAAATCAAATTGATTGAATAAAAGTAAAGCAAGATAATAAAATAAAAAAAGGTACAGAAAACTGCATTAAACTGTTTTTCCTTTTGTAGTGGTCTCATTGTCTCTGTAAAGCCTTGAGATGACATATGTAGTGTGATGTGTTGTGAATTGACACTAAATAAAAAAAATATTGGAATTAAATTAAATGACAATGCAGCGGTGTCCTCTTAATATCAGATTAAAGCCACATTAGCAGCTAAATAAAACCATAAAGTACTAGGACCTAAATAATAAAAGAAAAGAAAAAAAATGTAAAGTTGTGTAAAGTTGTTAAAAAAAAAAAACATACATTTTTGCTACCTCAAAGTCTTCAGTGAGTTCATGCTAAAGGCAAGTTTATGTTGATAATTTAAAACCTTGCTTAGTAATTTAATTTGCACTTAGGGGTTTTCTAATAAACCATATCCACAAGCCCTAGGGGTTCTGGAAGGTTCACAAACAGGAAAAGTCCAGTTAAATGAAATCTAGACACTCACCTCTTGGAGCAATTTAGATAATCAAATTAACCAAATACAGGTTCTTTGATTTTGTGATGAAATCGGATCACCCAAATTTATTTGATCAAGAATATGGTTATTTTAACTATCAATACTTGATGTGAGGAAAAAAAAAACACAAACGTTTTTGAAACAAGTCAAATTATTTTTGTTAATTTCCTTAAACAAACGTTTGTTTTTGTTTTTTTACATATTAAAACAGAAAATTAAATTATGCAACACATTTTTTTGGGTTGTTTTTTAGGCATTATATTTCATATAAAAAGGGGAATAAATGCTGTACAGGTGCTGGTCATAAAATTAGAATATCATGAAAAAGTAGATTGATTTCAGTAATTCCATTTAAAAAGTGAAACTTGTATATTATATTCATACATTACATACAAACTCATATATTTCAGATGTTTATTTTGTTTAATTTTGATGATTACAAATGACAACAAATGAAAATCTCAAATTCATCATATCAGAAAATTAGAATATTGTGAAAAGGTTCAAAATTGATGGCCCCTGGTGCCACACTCTAATCAGCTAATTAACTCAAACCACCTGCAAAAGCCTTTAAATGGTCTTTCAGTCTAGTTCTATAGGCTACACAATCATGGGGAAGACTGCTGACCTGACAGTTGTCCAAAAGACGACCATCGACACCTTGCACAAGGAGGGCAAGACACAAAAGGTCATCGCTAAAGAGGCTGGCTGTTCACAGAGCTCAGTGTCCAAGCACATTAATAGAGAGGCGAAGGGAAAGAAAAGATGTGGTCGAAAAAAGTGTACAAGCAAGAGAGATAACCGCACCCTGGAGAGGATTGTGAAACAAAACCCATTCAAAAATGTGGGGGAGATTCACAAAGAGTGGACTGCAGCTGGAGTGAGTGCTTCAAGAACCACCACACACAGACGTATGAAAGACATGGGTTTCTGCTGTCGCATTCCTTGTGTCAAGCCACTCTTGAACCACAGACAGCGTCAGAAGCGTCTTGCCTGGGCTAAAGAGAAACAGGACTGGACTGCTGGTGAGTGGTCCAAAGTCATGTTCTCTGATGAAAGTAAATTTTGCATTTCCTTTGGAAATCAAGGTCCCAGAGTCTGGAGGAAAAGAAGAGAGGCACTTCATCCACGTTGCTTGAAGTCCAGTGTAAAGTTTCCACAGTCAGTGATGGTTTGGGGTGCCATGTCATCTGCTGGTGTTGGTCCATTGTGTTTTCTGAGGTCCAGGGTCAACGCAGCCACATACCAGGAAGTTTTAGAGCACTTCATGCTTCCTGCAGCTGACCAACTTTTTGGAGATGCAGATTTCATTTTCCAACAGGACTTGGCACCTGCACACAGTGCCAAAGCTACCAGTACCTGGTTGAAGGACCATGGTATCCCTGTTCTTAATTGGCCAGCAAACTCTCCTGACCTTAACCCCATAGAAAATCTATGGGGTATTGTGAAGAAGAAGATGCAATACACCAGACCCAACAATTCAGAAGAGCTAAAAGCCACTATTAGAGCAACCTGGGCTATCATAACACCTGAGCAGTGCCACAGACTGATCGACTCAATGCCACGCCGCATTGCTGCAGTAATACAGGCCAAAGGAGGCCCAACTAAATACTGAGTGCTGTACATGCTCATACTTTTCATGTTCATACTTTTCAGTTGGCCAACATTTCTATAAATCCTTTGTTTTTATTGGTCTTCAGTAATATTCTAATTTTCTGATATGATGAATTTGAGATTTTCATTTGTTGTCATTTGTAATCATCAAAATTAAACAAAATAAACATCTGAAATATATGAGTTTGTATGTAATGTATGAATATAATATACAAGTTTCACTTTTTAAATGGAATTACTGAAATCAATCTACTTTTTCATGATATTCTAATTTTATGACCAGCACCTGTATGCTTACATCGGCCTGAACATACTCTGGATAAATCCTTAGCTCTATTTGAGTTAAAACCATGGCATATTAAGCTCATAAACTGAATTCTTGCTTTTATTATACACAGGTTGTTGCACGAAATCCAAGTTGCAACTTCTTGCTGGAGGTGGAGAAAGATGAGCTTGACTGTGTGAGGAGGCTGAAGGAGGACGAGGCTGCTGGCAATGCTGAAGGTTGGGATCAATGTAAACATCAGAGTCGTTTTGTTAATTCAAATAGGATAGAAATACCTTTATTTTCCAACAGTGAAGCAATTGTGGTGTGGTAGTGGTGAAACCAGCTAAACAGGAAGGTTTACAGGTACAAACTGCATAGATTAAAAATACTTTTTAGAAAGTAAAAAAAATATATATTTTTTTTATTATTAACTGTACAGTTGCTAAAAAATAATGCAAAGGAATTAGCTGAATTAATAAAAAGATATGGGGTATATGGTAAATACGTTAAAGTAAGTAAATATTTAACTGTACAGGCAGAGTGTCTGGTTAGAATACAGTATCATTACTTTATCATATTATAAGGTTATTGTCACAAGATTAACATGGAAAATGTTTCCCTTAACTTTATAGCAGTGATGGATATGTGTCTGCATACAGAATATGATATTTTACATCTCTGTGCTCATACTTTCTTTTTGACAATCCAGAAATACTCTGTAGAGCTTTTTAAATCAGCATTTTATCTGACAAAATGACCTAATTAGGCACCTCATGTTGATCTTCTTTTAGTTTTATGTCAGTCAGCTTGTGGTAGCTTTTATGGATAGAACAGAATTTCGTTGCAGGAATTTCAGATTTTTTTCAATTTGCTCCAAAAGGCACCATCCGTTGCATGGAAGCCATTGAAGCTGTATTGATGTCTGCAGGGGGGTTGTGCTTGTTGCCATAAAAGGCTGAAATTATCTTTCACAGAGAAAACACTTGCAATACGTGCACAGTGAGAAAGCTGGCTTTCAAGTTCCAAATATCTGTATGTACAGACTTTTTAGATCAGAGCTCTGGAACATATGTAGTGTGCTGGTTATATATCTTTCCTTCTGGTTTCAAAATATATATAAAAAGGAAAAAAACAACAGCAGAAGTTCATATGGGGTCTTCTTTCAGCAATTTCATTGAGTGAAAATGGATTACAAGCAAATCATACCTGAACCTAACTAGATTAGAGATGCAAGAGATTTCCTCTCTGCTCACCAAAACCTAGATGAAAGCAATGCTTATTATATTTCTGCAGCACAGAATTCTGATGGAGACACGTTTCTTTTTATTCTATGCACAGGATGCAGGACACTGTGCAAAAACCATCTGTGGAAAGGGTTATACTCCCATCGCACACCAGATGCTCTTTGGTGGATGTAGTAACATTGTTCATGGGATCTAAGATGTTTGGAAAGAATTTACATGAGTAGAAAATATCAAACAAGTCAGTCTGAGGAATATGAATCACACGCACTTCCTCTCAGAAAATGCGCAGTTCATTAACTTCTACTTTAAACTTTAAAAGTCTCGCTGCAAACTTTGCAGCTGATTGCGTAAAGCTTTAATGAAATGGCATTTTGGAAAAGTTTTGTACAGCAGGAAACCTGATAAAAAACTGTTTAGAAAGAGGTTCAGCCCTGCACTGGATGCAGAACTCATTTAGTTTCAAGGATTCTCTGAAATAGACGACTGAACTGCGCTAAACATCTGAGAGGCAAACCGAACATTTAATAACGACTTGCTGGGAGTATTTTAAAAGTATATATCAACATCATTGCATTTGAAGAGATATTTTATAGATTTTAATCAGAATATTAAGCTGAGAACAATAGGATCCAGTATTCGAGGTAGACAAAGATTTCTCAAAACCTTTATTGGAAAGAGAACCGCAGTGAGCAGCGTCAGCATCTAAGGTAGGAACCTCTGCAGGAGGATACAACAGGTTAGTGACCACATCTTTCTGTAAATGGATGATAACGAAAGTGTGAGTCACTAACCTGGTCTTATAGATCAGTCAAAGCCCAGAGGGTGAGGCTTCCAGCCGGTCGGCTGCCAACATGACGCAGTGGGTGCCGCCCAGAGAGTCCCAGACATTGATGGTGGTCGGAGGACAGGCAGGAGATCAGAACTGACCAGATGAAGGAAGGCAGGATGATCCAGAAGACGATGCAAAAACCGGTTTCTGTGACTTGCTCAGGATTCAGAGCCAGGAGATCAGAGGTACAAAGAGATGCCGAGGGAAATCCAGAACGGTGTCACGAATCCGTTCCAGGTTCAGTTAACAGACAGGCAGAAATCCAGTAGAAGTCTGAGGACAGGTCCACCACTGGCTCAAAGTAATCTGGCACTGATGACCTGTCTGAAGGCTGGTTAAATAGAGACTGAACTTTGTAAAGGATTTAATAAAAAAAAATCTAGATACAGTCCATATATGCAGACTCCAAACTTAAACAAACTTCTTCTTTGAATACATGGCACTTCAGCTAAGAGGTGTCCCTTCAGAGTGCAGTTAAGATGCAGAGAGAGAGAGCAAAGAGCCTCCCTCACATGTAGTTATGGTTTGTTTATGTGTACTTTGGCCCAACAAAGCTAACAGAAAGAGAAAAATTATTAAAAAAAGAGAAAATACATACAAAGTAGAAGAAATGGATTGTGCCTCACCTTTCTAGGTTATATCCAAGTAATGTCTTCCTATGGGCAGCAACTTGAAGGCACAAACTAACCCTTGCCCTTATGAGTAGCGCACAGCCTGCCATCACCAGCAGAGAAGCTGACGGTGTGCTGAACAGCATCACGGCCAAGCGGAAAGACAACACGATTTGAGGGAATGTGAAAATAAAGAAGGCAGGGAATCTTCCGCAGGTTCCAGATTCTAACTTGCCGAGATCTCCCTCCTCTGCTTAGTTTGAGAAATAATGTGTTTACAATTATACAAGTTTATCCACATAATCATAGCTGTTCTCTGTGATTGTGGTATGAATTTCATAAGTCTGGGACAATGAAAGTGAAAATAAGGAGGGGAGGGAATCTTCGGCAGGTTCCAAGTTCTAAGTTTAACAAATAAAGTTTCAGAAATGATCAAGGATGGTGTTGATAGCAAAATTGGGACTGTAGCGCATCAACTGAAACGTGCCTCCATACAAGTAAAATCCTATGAATTTGAATTTATCTGTCCACCTAAACTATACATTTTAAGGCATCCATTCATAAGAAATATGAAAAAATTAAGAATATGTTTAAAATTTCCCTTTTCATTCATATTTCAATCCGTTTTCTCATCAATAGACGTGAGTTTAGGGCGATGCGGGCTCCCGCGACAAGGGAGGTAAATCCCGGCAGGAAGGTAATGCTCGGCACAATAGATGAAACCCGGAGGAGAGAATCGAAGGTTTAAAAAATGCATTTTAATGAAGCAATTTAAGACACATGTTAAGATTATTATCTTTAATGAACTGCTAAATTGGATGTAAATGTCTGGCCAATGGTCATAAATGAATTGAATGTTGATATCTGAGTGCAAGGTTCCTCGTGTGACTTGCAGAATGCCTGTTGTATGATCAATGGTAAATAGCTTAGTTTAATGGACCTGTTAAATAGTTTTAACTCATTCATTGTCAGCATGTAGCCTTGGTTACTTTAAATTAGCCAATAAAAGTAATAATGATTTTCCGATTTACAATCTATTTTATAAAATAAATAAGAATAAAGAATATTTGAAAGGTGAGTAAAATTATTAGATTATATGTAGGCTTATTGGATTTTCAGGCTAATTCTAATGTATTTGAATTTGTTATATACAACTGGGAGGCATAGAGCTGGAAATCAGATAGATGAGTCTGCGTTCGCCAGTATTGCCATACTTATCTGACTGCATTGTGCCAAGTGTAAAGTTTGGTAGAGGGGGGATTAAGGTGTAGGGTGGTTTTTCAAGAGCTGGGCTTGGCCCCTTAGTTCCAGTGAAAGGAACTCTGACTGCTTCAGCAAACCAAGACATTATAAAGAGTTTGTATCTGGCTCCTTCTATTCCTAACATGACTGTACACCCTCTACAAAGCAAGGTTTATAAAGACATGGATTGCAGAGTCTGGTGTGGATGAACTTGACTGGTCTGCTCAAAGTCCTTACTTCAACCTGTCAGAACACCTTTGGGATGAATTAGAGCAGAGACTGACATCCAGGCCTTCTTATCCAACATCAGTGTGTGATCTCACAAATTCACTACTGCAAGAATGGTGGAAACATCTTAAACCTTTTGGACAGCCGTCCCCCAAAGAGTTGAATCTGTTCCAGCTGCAAAGGATGGACCAAAGTCCTATTAAACCCTCATAGATTAGGAGTGGATATTGCTGAATGTCAGTCAAGACAAGTGAGCGAAAGTAAGACTCTGAAGCAACAGGAGTTGTACCTCATAAGACAACATTTCTACTCAAAATATGTTTAAAACAGGAAAATTTGTATGATGTATGTGCAGCCTATGCAAGAAAAATGAAAAATTATCTACAAGTTCAAATGTTGCAGTATATACCTTAACTGTACTTGATGGAGTCATTTGCATCAACATGAGTTTAAACTGAGTTTAGGTTCAAACATTTTCAACCTTTTTGTCCAATTTATATTTACCCTTCCTTTGTTTTCCGAGCATCGGCTTAACTATGTTTTTTTTTCTTTTTGAGGTCATTTAATAAAGTAAAGCTACATCTTAGCTGCAACTGACAAACTATTACTGTATGTCCTAAGTATTGAAACATAAGTATGTGAAACTGCCATAAAATGTAATCAGTAGATTTATTTTTACAAAGTAAATGCTGCAGAGAATAAGACCCTGCATTACATTTAATAGATCATTCACAATATCTATTTGCCTGTCCTAGTCAAAGATTACAAAGTTCTTTATGTTATAATTAAAAACTAAGTTAATGCAATTAAAGATAAATTATCGAATAAACAAAGTATTTGATATTTCTAATGTTACTCCAAGAATTATTTAAGATCAGAAAATCATGAGTGCTTCAGATTCTTTCAGATCTTTAAGGCATGGTTATAGTCAAGACAACTGATTAGGCTTTGGGAATAGATATTTACCATGACCATATAAATATATCATATGCTGCTTGATCATTTAAACAGGAAAAGAAATGAAGTCAAGAGAATTGGCCGAGCACTGAATCTTGTAGTAATCCATAGCTAACTTTTCTTTA